ACAGGTTGACGCAGTCGTAGGACTGCATAATTAACATCTCCTTTATTTGTCTGTTCAGCAATGACCTTCTTTGAGGATGGTGGTATTCTGACCATCCAGGTAAGTGTGGTTCCTGTGTCACGTGCTGTATAATGCCAGAGATCTTCACGCATTAAACCTTGACCTTGATTTAACAGGGTGATAATGCTTTATTTCCTTCTAGAATTCTTCGTTCCCACATGCCGTTTACGTTCGTCTGCGACAAATCAGTTTTTCTCTAATGACAGTGGAACTATTCACGTTAAGTGACTGATTCCAATTCCCCCCATGTTATTTCTCGCAGTAAAGCCTAAAAGATTTTTATTTTCAGCGTGAAACGTACCGGATAAATATTTTCGGACACTTCAACGATAACAGCTTCAAGACGTGTCCCGCAAAATAAAAATACTGACAAAACCAACGATTGTGGCGTGGTTTTAAAAATTAATTATTAAAAAATGAAATAAAAGAGCATTATCCCGTTTTCTGCGCATCGTTTTTCTCATTTAATATGCATAAAAGTGACAAATTGAGCCAGTCTTAAAACTTTCAGCTTAATATTCTCCACTTGATAGCAATAGATGCCAGATCAGTAGGTGTTGTAACTGTAGGTGTTTAAATTACTGTACTGCCAAGTATTCCTTATGCTATTGCACTGTGCAATAATATTAGGAACGATTTATGAAAAGGATATAAAAATTGCAAATTTGTATCTTGTATGGTGATAACTGGAAAGCAGTAAACTTTCTGTTTCCTGCCTATGATCAGTAAATAGTTGAGTGCAAATGTTTCTTCAGGTGGTATATTTCATCTCTCCGTTCTTCTGTATGGCTATACGCTGAGACGTTATTTTGACAGTCAGGCGACTAATTTTTAGCACTCGTAATGCAGCGATGCATTCCTCAAATTTTCATCATCTGCACTGATTGACGATGTGGTGGATTGTTTAGTCTTGATAGTTGCAGTCACGCACTTGGGTTTCTTTGTGGTACCATTTGTGCAGGTGGTGCTGCTTGGCGTGGATCGTACGGGTCTTGTTCAGAGTTGCTCACTGTTTACGGTGGTGTTCCGATCGGATCGTCAATTTTTCCTTACTCCTCATTGGCGCCAAAAATGATGCCGTTAGATCATGGGCGGTTGGCGGATCAGTTTCCGCGATCTGAATCTTGTCGTAAGTTTCTTATTTTCTTGGTGAACAGATTTTTTGGCTCATCCTGAATTTTGCAATACTCTCTTAAGGAACTTTCATTCTTTTGTCGTGTGTATGTATGCGAGAAAGTATCGGTAATCAGGGAGGCGAAGTGCTGTGGAGGGGTTTCAGTAATGATGTTCATGGTATTGTTAATAATGTCATCAAGGTTCCCTGTAAAGCTGCTTTGAAGCCACGTAGCCACACAGTATTCCGCAGCTTGTTCTCGCCAGTTTCTGCACGATGTTGTGCCGAGCCTTAGTCTTGGCACAAGTCCTTCGAAGGTGTTCTCGGATCGGGAGGCTGCGGTCCAAGGTTACTCCCAGGTACTTTAGGTTGGCCCGGTTTCTGACTCGATCGCCACAGAAAGACAACACATATATGTATATGGTAATTTTTCCGACCTTTACACCGGTTTTTCTGATGCCATTAGTGTGTTCTTCATTGAGCACAGCGATATTCTGCAGCTGGGAAATCCACTGAACGAAGGTTGAGATTCCATGTTTAAGACGGTGTACTGCGGAGATGTGCTTATAATCATTAATTGTTATGCTTTAGCTTTGTTGTCAGTGTGGGTTTCTTGTAGGACAGTGACGTTGATGTTTCGCTTCTTGAGTGTTTGCGATTTGTTCACATTTCGCGAGTGAAATTCTTTCGATGTTGAGTTGGTATATGAGACGTCTGGGGCTAATAGTTTGCTTTGAGTGGCCCTAAGATAAGCCATTGGGTTTAAGGGCAGAGTCTGACAGGCCCTGAAGGGGACAGTTTGATTCTGGGTGACCCTGAATATGGCCCTTAGGTTGAAAATAGGTATTTAGCTGATTTGCTGAGCATGCTTAACGCGTGGACTACGTGAGGATTGTTATCATTTTACATTTGCGGTTCATTTCCGTTATTACAAATTTTAGTAGCTTCACTGTACTTTCAACGTTTTGTTGAATGTATGCAACTTTTCATCTTGTTTTCTTTCCGTCATATGCGCCCTGGTTTACTTAAGGTACTTTGGCAGGTAAGCCCTTATCTTCATCTTCATCTTCATCTTCCATCGCCGCTTCTCCTTTCGGGTCGCGGAGGCAGACGCGTCAG